TTGAAGCAACAAAAGTTTGATGAGGAAATGAATGAAATCACTGAAGGTACATCATTGGTTGGTGATGGATTGGTCAGGCATACAGGTGAATGAAGAAATAACTAATAATATTCGATTCATTGATTTAGAGAATTGAGATTATGTAGTAGATATGTGAAAAATCTAATAGAAAAAAAATGAAACGAGTAAATTCTTCTAATGATGAAGATTCTTCACCTCCAAACAAAATAACTAAATTTTGTGAACAAGTGGAAAGTTTATCCTGTTTAGAAATTGCAACTCTGATTAAACATTGCCACAAGGTTCGCGGAAGAATAATTCTTGATTTATTATCGAATATTCCGGACGAAATTATTCTTCATATTTTAATGTATTTGGATCCATTGGAAAGAATTGCACAAGGACCACGAAATTGTTGTAAAACTTGGAATGGGAGTATTCACAATTTAACTGTTTTGTGGAAACTTGCATTGGAACATTTAAAAATTGAAAATGATGAATTGGATGAGGATGATATTGAATTTTTAAAGATTAGATCCCTAAATAGACAACCAAAAGCAGTACAGTTTGATTATTGTTCTGATGATGAATCTTACAACTTTTCGAAAAAAGATCTCGTTCACCATTCAAAAGATTTCAATATCATTACCAAAAACCCACGTATAGAAACTTCAAATAACAAAACTTACCACAATATTAGGGAATATATTTCGCATTACTATTTGGATACTGAGTTGATTGAGGGATTATACTTTGTTCCAAAGAAACCCAAATTCTTTAAATTTGAAATTTCAGCAAGTGGCAATTCTCGTTGGACTGAATATTCAACTGATGATCCAACAACGTATGATTTTGATCTCACTCTTTCTGTACTAATTCCATCTCTAATATCCTCAAATGATGAGCAGCAGAACATGTTGGAAATAATTTCTGACAGTGTTGTGAATAGGTATCCTCAATATTCACAACACTAGCTGAATATGTTGGAGAATCCAATAATGGTGTTAGATGGTTTACTAAATGGTTATCAAATTTTGGTTTTTTACCAGATGATTTCGATGCAGAGAGTGAATTGGAGGGTTTAGTTGATGATGTGAGTGAAGAGGAAGATGACGAATAAATTTATGATTTATTTTCACTGATTAAAGCATCATTAAGAATGCAGCCAAAATTGAAATAATCAACAAGGAACAATTAATCATGAAAGATCCTGAAACAGTGGCAAAATTGACTGGTGGTAATGAAATGGTAACCTTTTCAATCACATTTCCTGAAGCATCTGCAGTTGAAATACTTCCAAATGAAGCTGAAGTGGAGGCAGTATCTGGATTTTTAACAGAACCTAAAGCAATAGAAACCTTTCCAACAGAAACTTGAGAGCTCACAGCTCCTGAGATGGTGTTGCCATTGACATTAACATTACTAATAGTAATTTCACTTCCACTAGCATCTGTAACAGTAATTGTTGAAGCCATAATTGCTCTCTTTTGAACAATTGAGACAACATATCCATTTGGTAAACTGAGGGTAATTGAGCCACCCTTTGGAATTGGACTAGCAATCTTGACAACAATTGTAATGGATCCAACACCTCCTGGAACTCTATTAGAACCACCTGATGAACCAGCAGTAGTAGAAACTTCAATAGAGACAGCAGAAGATTCTTGAGCAGCAGTTGAGCCACTAGCTGGAATGACAGCAGTCAAATAGGCGGTATAAGTTGTCACTGGTGAGAGACCAGATGAAAGAACATAGCTAGTACCAGAAATAGATGAAACTGAAGCAACTTGAGTTCCAACAGCATCTCTAATTACCAAAGAATAAGTTATTGAGCTTGCGGCAGTTACTGAAGCAGTCCATGAGAAAGTGGCACCTGCAGCAGTGACATCTGAAACCTTCAAGGCAGTTGGTGGAGCAACAGAACTTGGTGAAGGACCATCATATGCAAACAATCCCTTCAAGGTAATAGTTCCAGCAGAAATGGAATAAGAAGCATCAGCCCAATTCTTGGCAGTATTAGAAACTGTATTGACATTTGGGAAACAAATCTTGAAATCATTTGTGGACTTTTTGGTTCTTCCCATAGAATAATCCATAGCATCTCCAATTTGTCTATAGAATGTTTCATTATTATTATTGACACATCCAGCATTACTATTACCCAAGAAGAGAATATCCAACAAGTTGGCGTTGAGATTATTATCACTCAATGGATTAGTACACTTAATGTTATCTCCACAATCAGCATCTGATGAACATGTTTGAGCATTCAATAATTGCTTACAGAGATTACCTTCACAGAAGAGGTAGAAGTTTGGAATGCCTTCTGGATTGTTTGTACAACGAGAGGTGTGGACGTGGATTTTAATTTGACTGTCCAATAATGAGAAGAGATTAGTATAGGTGAATCTACAACCTTTGGTTTCGTAATCTGAATAGGTACAAGTGGATGGCATTTGAACGTTCAAAGTACTCAATGAAAGGAGTGAAATAATTCTTTGCATTGGTGAAATAGTCCAAGAACCAGCAGAGAAAGTATTAGAATTGGAAGAAAGTAAAGCCAACCAAGCTTTAGCATTGTAAGGTTGAACCAAAACTCTTCTCAATTCACTTGTCCATCCATTATTGCATGAAAAGATGGAATTAACAACAGTTTCGTTTCGATTGTGGTAGATCCGTAATTAATATTTGGTGAGTAAATTGTCATCAAATTTGGACCAAATTGCAAAACTCCATTACAATCATATTTCAACATGAGAGTATACTTGTTTGTATCATAAGATGGGAACAATGGATCAACAGGAACTGAGATTGAGGCAGTTCTCTTTTCAGAAGCAACAATATTTGAACCATCAGCTAAAATACCATCCCATGAAGAGACACTTGACAAGGAAATGGTACATGTACGATTATATGTTGTGGTATTACAACTTGGACCAATATAATCATAATAACACATACAGACACCTTCAGTGGAGGTGGTAGCAGCATCTTCAAAGTTTGGAGTGGCAAAAACACAAGAACCATGTCCAGAACAGACATCTGGGCTAGTAGCAGCAATACCATTACAAGTGACAGGTTTTTCACAGAGCTCACCAGTAAATTTGGTTCCAGTACATTGACATTTACCAACAACACCTGAGGATGCGACACATACACCACCATTTTGACAACTAGGACAACTGACTGAATATTCACATTGAGCTCCAGTATATCCTTTAGTACATGAACAATAACTCAATGGATTATAAGCAATAGTGTGACAAGAACCACGTCCATTACAAACTGATGGATTAGTAGAATTGTAAGAACCACACATAATTGCTTGAGAACACAAAGAACCAGCATAACCATAATTACATTTACAGACACCAATGTTACCAGCAACGAGGGAACAATAACCATTTCCACTACAAACAGAGGCAGATGTGGAATCAACACCACCACAATAATAAACAGAATCTTGGACTGATGAAACAGTTCTCTTTGCTTGTGGAATGGCAATTTCAGTAACAACAGAAGTAGGAGCAGCAACATCAGCACTCATTGGAACTACAGCAGTTTGTTGAGTCTCTTGAGATTCGGATAAAGTTCTGGAAACTACCTTTGCAGTACAAGTAGCTTGTACATTAGCTCCAGGACTCAAAATTGGTGCCAACTTTGGACCACACATCTTGATTGAAGTATAGGTCTTTGTTGAAGTTTGACTCCAATGATTGGCCAACATTGTCTTCATCAATGAATCAATTAATTGTTCTGGAGATTTACAAGTTTGGAATTGATTATAAATTCCAGCAAAAAAGAAACCAAAACCAAATTGGAAATTTGAGCCATATCCAGCATTATTTGGAACATCCCAACAAGTTAAACTATTTCCACCACAATCAGAATCTTGTTGACAAGGATAACCAATCTTATCACAATCATCACCTTTACAATGAATTGCAATATATGGTAAACGTTGTGGAATTGAAAAAGTTGCACGATTTCCACTTGTTTCAGATGGACAAGAAGCCAAAGCAACTTGAATTTGAGTACTTCCAAGAGCAAGTGAGAATAAACATGGAGAACCATTCGAAACATCATTCAAATTACAACTTGAAATTTGTGCGAAATATTTAGAATTGGACATTTGCATCCAATTATTAGGAGCATCAGATTGTGCAGGACATGAAGTATCAAGAGCAGCTCTTCCCTTCATGGAATTCCATAAAAATCCTTCGACACCTGGAACATATTGTCTTTGGAAGTTTCGTTCAGTAATTGATGGACAACGACATTGATTAACTCTTAATCTTGCTTGTTCGATGGCATAATTAGTAGCAGAATAGGCCAAACCAATGTTAATGTTGGATTCTAGAAGAGATCCTTTCAAAAGACGCATGTAACCATTGCCTGATTAGTGACAGATGCAAATTAATATAAAAATATTAAACATGACATGTTAATAAAAATTAAAGTCTACCAAAACCTACATGAGAGTGAAATAATTTCACGTTGATGAGATGAACACACCAATGTCACCACAAGAATGACAAATGTCAAGCAATGTAATAATTTCATTTTTTTTGTGAATGTTTAAACTCTTCAGCAACTTGGTTACAAGAAACGTGAAGGGCATCAACAGTTAAAAATCACCGAAAACCTATTTTCATGAAGATGGTGGAAACCATTTTTGGTCTTTTAAGTTTCTTCTTGTTTTTAACTTGCCTTTTTAAAGTTTACAATAAAGCGACAACGGCTAAACTAAACTAAAGTGGAAAGCATGGATGAGATTTTGGTCTCTGTGTTTAAATGAAAGGTGCATACCACAGTGTGTTGTTGAAGCATTCAGGTTCATCCTTCCACATGATTGTTGACACTGAAAAAATGATGTTGACACTTCCTGCTAAATATCCAATAATTAGTTTTTGTGTTTGTTTGGTGATTTTGTTGGCGAGTTGTGGATTGAGTGTTTGGAAATTAAAAATTGATTCGGATCCTTTTAAACTTTTAACACATTCACATTCGAATGCCAAGTTGAAACGAGACGAAATGAATTTATTGTTTCCTAAATATAATATATGAGAGCAGTGAGCATATTTAAGGGATCCTCTAGA